AAGAAATCTTTTTCTAAATCATTGAGTTCTGAGATTTCTCTTTCTAATGTCCATTTATAGAATCAGTATTCCAAAGGTGTGTGCTTCATTGAAAGAAAAATTAAAAAGGATTGTCTACGTAAGTCCATCAGATTGACAAAAAATAGAAAGTTTGGAATGCTACAAGAACTCATTGCATTAGAAAATGAAATATACATTAATGATCCAGGAAGACTTAATGAAATTAACGAAAGAGTGATCAGATTATTGACGAACAGAGTATACAGAGATTTAAAGGAAAGATATGTCAGAAGAATGACATGTATCATGACAAAACAAGTATCAAAAGAAAAAGAACATAAACCCTTCACCATTTGCTTTATGGGATCAAGTAGACATTCCAACAGAAATCAAGGAAACTCTCAAAAAGGGCCTAACTTCGTTCCGGAAGACGAAAACTTATGGCAAATTTCAATGGCGAAACTGAAAAGAGGAATCTTAGAATTCAATGATTTAGAAAGGGATTTCTTCAGATGGAAGATTTTTCTCAAAGACCATAGTCGTAGACCATTGAAATGAAACATCTGAAGCACGCAAAACAATGGTAAATAACAATGACTTGGTCATAACACGAGCTGACAAAAGTAAACATCTAGTCATCATGAAAAGACAAATTACAACAAATCTTTAGACGTTAGAAATTCGTTCCATCTGGGTCGAAAACGTTAATGTTTCTTTAATAAAACGTTTCTCGGCATGAAGTGTTGGAGGATTTATTAAGTGTTCTCGTCTATAGAGATAAGGTGTGCATTACATCTGCATAACTAGAGATGCAATATCGAAACGAGCGTACCGATATTCTTAAGTATCGAGTATTAATAACGAAAATATGATTTGTTTATCTATTTGTTTTTTTTATTTAAACAAGAAGAGAAACTTGCTAACTAAGTGTCCAGATGTTATGGTGACTCAAAGGTTGTTTACTTGCTAACTGTAGATGTATTAATTAGCAACGTTCGATTTATTTTTACTGCCCGAAATGCATTTTAGTACAGTACGTATCTTCATTTGAGACTTTCCATTTCTCATAACATAAACTGTGTTATGTAAACATGAATTTTATTTTATATTTAGTCTCAGTTTAAGTTGATTAAGTTGTATTTAAAATTACCATCAATTTTTTTTTCTCCCCATGGTTTTGTGTTGTGCGAGTCTAACAACCTATTATTAAGATTAAATTAATTAGCCTAATAAACCCTCCTATTTATTATTGCCATATTCATCATCATATCAGGGACTGACTGGAACAAAATAGACTAAATTTTTACAAAATCATAGCCTTTAATTAACCGCAATCAAATTTTTAGTAGAATGCATTTCAAGCTTCTCATCAGCATATTTCAGACACAAAGGCCCCACATCAGCCTAATACATCCATACAGAGATGCTTGAAATGCATTCTAATCACTCACAAAATCTACTGCAGCCAGCTTTAGTTGTGTGAGTTTTAGCTAAGAAAAATGGAGAGGTGATAAATGGGCATTGCAATTGCATGGTCAGTCAGTACACGTCTTATTTTAATTCTTTCTGGCATTGCAGAAAGAATGTCTTATTTTAATTCTTTCTGCAATGCCAGAAAGAATTAAAATAAGACATGTACTGACTGACCAAATAATTGGATTGTGCCACATGTAAAAGATTGTGGTTACAAACCACTACGAAAAATAAACTTTACGTCAGCTGCAACTGCGAGCAAACGGCAACGCCTTGAAGAAAAAAAATATATAAAAACTTTATTTGTCAAGTGATAAAACCTAGTAAGAGAGAATTTAAACAGTTTTTGAAAAAAATTTCTGTTCATAGTCCAACTGCTGCAATTTTGTCAGTGATGCCAGGTTACTCTAATTCTTTTACAAACCATGTCAATTCATCTTTCCATAAGAACCCACTTACAACTCTATTTGATGCCAAAAAAGCTGCCTTACCCTGGGATCAGCTGTTAAATCACTGCAGGACAGTATTTGAAACTTTTAATCTGACAGATGAAGAAATTGATTTTATTAAAGAAAACACACCAGCACAGAGTAGAAGCAAACTGTGGTCTTCTTTAGATCAGATTAGAATAACTGTTTGTTATGAGAAGTGTGTGTAGAGCAGATATAGAGACTCCACCAATTTCCACTGTATTTTATCAGAGCTAATTGTAAAACAATTTTCTTCCCAGCCAACTCTACTCCCACGAAAAGATTCAGAAAATGTATAAATTTTATAGAATAAAATACTTTATTGTACAGCAAATTGTTTACTTTGATGTAAAAATTGCCAGTTTTAAGCAAAAAAAGTATTACAGTATTGAATAAATATTGTATTGATAATTCATTTGACTAATACCTGTATATCAAAATTTATTCATTTATTTTACATATTATTGGAACTTCAGTTGACAAAAGATTTCCACCCCCGAATAACAAATTGTTTTATTTTTATTAAAAATTATATTAATCAAATGGAACGACACTGTTTATATAAGTATATTAAAGCACAACAAATTGTGACAATTTTTTCAATTGTTTGTTACAGAATCTTTAGTTCTAACTGTAAGCAGTTCAATTGGTAGTGTAATGAATCATAATAAATTAAAATTAAATTTGAAAAAATATGAGTTAGATGACAA